ACCCCCACTTTCTCTGTTTCCTTTTCTTCCTTTCTCCAAATTCCGGGAATCAGATTTTCGTCGTCTCTCTTCTCTCTCACTTTACTTTTTTCCACCACCACGAACATTGATCATCGCAATTTCCCTAACGCCACATGGGTTTTGTTCCCATCTTTCATAAACCCATCATTCATCCCACTAGAATATATTACAATATATAGATTATATATATACTTTTATATTTAAAAAAAAAAAAAATATAAAAAAAAAAAACAACCTCACACCGAATCTCTCAAATCACCTTTCCACATAATATTGTCTTTGTATATATTTTTTTTATTTTTATTTTATTTTTATTAATTCGTACAACACAACAACACCAAAATTCACACACAAAACATTCCACACACTTGTTTTTCTTCCTGCCGGGGATCGAAACCAGCATGCTGGATGTCCGTATCCGACCATTTTTACACCAAGAAAAAAAAAAAAAAATAAAAAAAAAAAACCAAACAAATCGACACCCAAACAAACAACAAAAGCCACCACATCCACCGACGGGATTTTTCTTCTCTACTCTGCCGCCGGTCTCTTCTTTCTTGCCTCTCATCATTGGGCGGCCTTGCCGGTGTTGCCTCCGTGTTTCCCACTCCACTGGGCATGGACCACTATTCCTTGCTCCTCCACTGCAGGCATATGGCGGCCCTCCAAATCGCGAACATCACGGTGGGGCCTTTCCGCTTCAGCTCCTTGTTTTCTGCCCTTAGCACGCCGCTTCATCTCTGCTCGCGCATCCTGCTATACATGCGTTGCGAGCAGAGCCAGGCTGGGAGTTTAACTGCGTTGCACTCATTTGTCCTACTCTGAGCCGGTGCGACAGATTTGTGAGCCGCCGTCATGGACATCCAACACATGCCTTCAAGTTATACTGAATGGGCTTCCACATCCGGACGTGCACCGCCGATTTTTTGCTCCACAGACCGCATCGGGAGAAGTTCAGCGGAGCCAAAACCACAGAGTGTTTGGTGAGGTTCGACTGGCCACCGGCACCAGTTTCTCTCTCCTGTGGACTCGTTGAGGTCGGGAAAGAGGGTAAGCAGCCCGCGGGAAGACGAAGCCCATTTTTTCGGGCAACAGAAGTGTATAGGAGAGTGTTACAGAGTATCTTCTCAGCAAAGAAACCTTTCTCAGCAAATACGAAGAGTTTTTCAGAGGAGTTTTCGCCAATTGTTTGTCTTCGGCCTCTGCCTCAGCTTCGCATCTTGGGTTTAAAAATAGCCGAAGGCAGCCACTGCGGCATCGCGCGCCTCTTCTCCGCGACAAACTGGCAACGCCTTGTATTGCTTTTCATGGACGCCTTTTTGAGCCTGCGGGCACGCCTTTTGATGAACACGCCTTTTGCAGGTGCGGGCACACCTTTTGCGGGCACGACTTTTTGAAGGGCTCGATATCATACATGCCATGTATTTTTTGGCAGCCTATTACACACTCAACAGTGGTTCTACACCGATTCAGCTTCTATCAATCGCTTTCAACCTCAATAGGTTCTATCTTCAACCTATTTGGTTTTGAGGGGGGTTATCACAGTATCATGTATAGTCGCTCATGGCGCACTCCCTAAGTCGCCTCCTTGGGCTTAACCATCCACAACCTCTACACAACGGTCGACATGACCCATAAACTGTTCTGTCTACACCGGTCGACATGACCCATAAACTGTCTTCTAGCAACGGTCCGTCATGACCCCATTAAACTGTCCCGATCACAGTGCTCTGGCTACAACTCGGTCTCTGATCATGACCCCGTAAACTGTCCTGCTACAATACGGTCCGACATGACCCGGTAAACGTGTTCCCCGACAATTTATTCCGGTTAGCTTTCTCAACACGGTCTGACACGACGACAACAGTTGTCTGCGTACAAAATCGGTCCGACATGCCCTCGTAAATGTCCTGCTACAACGGTCCGACATGACCCGTAAACTGTCCTGCTTACAATTGGTCCAACATGAACCCCGTAAACTGTTCCTGCTACAGTCGGTCCGACATGACCCCGAAACTTCTTTTACAATGTCCGACATGACCGCCGTAAACTGTTCGGTTATGCTTACAACGGTCGACAGCAGCCTCGTAAATGTCTGCTACAACGGTCTGGACACGACCATTACCGTGTCTCCTTACTGTTTATTTATCAGATTTTACTTTCCTGTTTTTGTTACTCTCTTCAAATTCCAGTTGGCTAGTACCTATCCTCCTTGAGTTTGAGGGGGGCTGTTATTATATTGCTAATTGTATACTTTCCTCTTTCACTTTATTCTTCTGGTGATTTTCAATATACTTGGATCCAATGTTATTTCTTCCTCTATAAAGAGAGAGTTGATTTTCTTTGTAAAGATACGCACATACAATAAGAAACACATCAATTTGTAATCATCAACAAATCAATCATAATATCATAATTCATTTTGAAATGAGATTGAAGTTTGTAGTGACTAGAAGATACATCACATAAAAGAAAATCGTATATTAAACAAGTTTGAGTGAGAGATATAATTGGAACTGTCCCACCTCTTAAGACACCTGGTGATCTCTGAAGGGCTGCTTTGGACTGGGAGGGTAAGGAGGATTTTCCTGTAATAAAAAAAAACAGTCATTTTATTATTCAAATTCAGCATAAAGTTATAACAGAAAATAAAGTTTTTATATAGATAAACATAGCATATTAGGACACACAGATAGACACAACTTTTTCAAGTACAACGTAACACCCTCCTGTTTTCAACTTTCACTCACCATCCCAATCCCCATCCCCTCCCCATAATCTTTTCGTTTTTATAGTTGAAAGTAGAATATTTTAATCAAGCTAATCTAATCTTTATATAGAAAATGACTCACAAAAAACAAAGATCAACCAATGGCATTTGTCTTAAAAAAAATAATAAATAATCAAGTGTGTTTGGTTTTAATTTTTTGAGTTCATTTTTAGAAATTAAGTTTTGTTTTTGAGTATTTTTTTTAGTGAATATTTTTAAATTTTAAGCAATTTTTACTTTTTTAGATGCCACTACTAGATGTTCTAAATAGTAAAATATTTGTAAAAAATATTTAAAAAATTAATAATACACAAAATATAAAAATGTATTAATTTTTAATTATTTTTGTATTTAATGAATTTTTTAAAATTTTATTCACAAATATTATACTTTTTAAGTGTATTTATATTATGTGTCAAAATTGAAAAATTGCTTAAAATATTAAAAAATTTAGTAAAAACAAAATACGAAAATAAAAAATATAGAATTTTGAAAGTATTTTCTGAAAACCCAAACCATTGGTACGTTGAATTTGTTGAGGAAAAAAATGCTTAATGTTCACAAGTTATTGAGATTCATCATATATGTCCGCTCATCAAAATGTATCCATGCATAGAATTAGATCTCACTTGATCAAAAACATCTGTAGACCAAACAAAATTTTATGGTTTCTTCTTTTCTTTACAAAAATCATTTGATTTTTGAGGAAATAACAATTTCAAATATAAGACAAACAATTTACAATCAAATCTCAAATGTTGCTTGCCCAAAAAGATTCCACTAATTATTAGCAAATTTTACTCCATTTTCCATTGATACATATTCCTCTTGATTTTTGTTTTGGGTACCATAACAATATTGTACTAGAACATGCCAATCATTCACAACTTTTCTCATCTAATTTGATTCTAAATTTAAACTAAAAAAACTTAATTTAATATAAACTATTTCAACTCAAAAGGTGCAGCTCGAATTGAGAGAGCTGAAGCCTGAATTTGTAAGGCCGAACGTCTTCGGATGACCAGTGAAAGATTGTCTACCGCAATTATCACCATTGTTGACCGCAATGTCAACTCCTGCCAGAGACCACCCGGATGTCCGCCCAAATGACGGCAAAATGAATTCCAAACCATTCGAGCCAACTTCATATTTCGAGCTACCAAGCATTACTCTTTCAACCCTTTCATAAAAATCTTTTTAAAAATTCTCATTTTAGTTGGAGTTGATAAGGGAGCCTAGGATCACAAGTAGGGCTGTTATAGATTGTACAAAATGTCCCATGCCCATCTCCAATCCTTAACCTCATTTTTTCTATATTCAATTTAAGTTGATGACAAAGAGTCAAAAACCACCAATCATTTCATCAAATCAAGGAGAAATATATATTCTTTCATCAAATTGATAATTCATCAAATTCTTTATCAGATTTGATTAGATGAAATTTAAAAAGATCAACCATTAGAGAATGTGATTTTTTTTACCTCTAGAATTCTATGGAAAGGTTTGGAGTTTGAAATTATGAAGAAACATCAATTGCCTGAAACTAACTTGGAAAAGGAAATAAATAAAAACATAAATTGCACGATCACATGCCTGAACTTGTATTGCAGCAACACAGATGTCAAAAAGCTCGTATCATTACAATTGTGAAACATACAAAAGCTTAGCTCCTCCTTATAACAATCTTCAATTTTATCTCATAAACTTTAATATTTTTTTTTTTTTTTTTTTTTGAGAATAGTAAAACTTCATTTATATAAAAGGAACAACATTACAATAACTTCAAGGTACGACATTAAAGAAACATTACGCATCTCATACTTCTTAACACAAAGAAAACAGTTTGAAAGTAAACCCTACTTACTAAACTGACTGATTCTTTGAAACATGACCCCTGCATAATTTTTATAAAAGCAGTTCTCCATCATGACAGTTGCCGTTTAAACCGAGTCAGCATCATCAAAAGAAAGAAAATTGATAGATTAAAATTTATAATTTGTAATGGACCACCATGCTGCCTTAATTCTTATCAATTCAAGAACTTGAAATTGGATCCATCTCACACCAATAGACAACTTCAGACCAGATAATGAGTTGCATCATAACATCAGAGATTGCATTGCACCTATTCCAATGGTCTTCTTTTCCTCCCAAGAACAGATGCTTTCTGAAATCTGGGTCCACCCATTCGCCACTTCTTAAATGCTACCATTGAGGATTGAGCAGCCTCGTACACTTCACAAAGCACAAAAAAACAAATTTAAGCCCTCTTGCACAAATAACAAAGGTGAGATTTGATAATAAATAGATGAAATGTGTTAGATTAGTCTCTCACATTTCGTTTCTTCTATTGTTAGAAGTGTTAAGAATTTAGGAGCCACTGCCAGTGCTGCAGTTTGTGCCTTGATCAGCACTTCCTTGTACCTGGTCTGAAATGCAGCAAGCAGCAAGGTTCCAATGGTTTTATCACCAACTCTGTCCATCACAAAGAAATAGGGTTGGGGCCTGTTTAGTGCAGCTTTTTACAAGCTGAAAGTTAATAATTAGATGTAGAAGTTAAAAGCACTCCTCCAGTTAATTAGAGGCAAAGTTTTGGGGCATGTGAACTGCACATTAGCATTTATGTTTTTTGAACAATTGGGCATAACAACGAAGGGTTTTCAAATTGAAAAGGGTGGTTAAGACGATGATTGCAGACATAAAAATGCCACAAATTGAAAAGTGGAGAATGGGGAGGAGAATATACAAATCACTCTTATAGGCAGCTGGTAAGGTGCACGGTGCACCACTCAATCCCATAGAAGCTTCAAAAGCACTGAATAGTTCTCCATACTAACCGCCATTGCATTTGAATATATACGCTACTAGAGATCTCTTATTCCAACTAAGACTAACTCAGAATTAAAAATTTAAGATCTCTTATTCCAACTAAGACTGACATAGAATTAAAAATTTAAGATTTTAGCTTACAGGCTACAGCCCTATTGAAAGCCAAATAAAGACCATATATGAAGACCCTATTACATATCTTGACTAACATTAAGACCTATGGACCACAAAACTGAAGCCCTTGTCAACAAAAATATTATCACCCTTAATAAAACATAAAAACATAAAATAAATAAATAAAAACTAACCAAAAGCATAAATACCCTAAAAAACATAAAATAAGACTTATAATACGTCTAAAAACTTTATAATGGTTAGGTCTTAATAAGCGCTGCCTCGATATCTTGCCAATTTCCAAATTTTCTGTAAGCTTTACTCTTTCCTGAGCCTGATATGGACAGCAGCAATTGGCTCACAAGATTATAATTGCAAAAGCTATTTTGGATGCAAGTGGTCTCCAGCCTTCTTCCGTATCTCCTCCATCTAGGTTTTCCACAACATGACATTGACAAAGACACAATTTAACTTACACAAATTACTCCCATTGACCATCTTGATAAGGAAGTGATGGTTGGTAGAAGAACACCAATTACCTACTTCCATCTCCATGTACTTCTAGATGTGTTATCTGGCATGATTCCAAGAAGTTAAAACATTCCACCATCATCATGGATTTCCAACTGATATCGTAACCAGGCAACTTCCACTCAAGAACTCAATGTGATAGTACCATCAAATGGTTTAGGGTATTGTGGAAATTTGGTGCACCAATGATCTTGGAGGATCCAAATATACTAAGCTAATTTTCTGTTCTCACAATTGAAAGATCTGGACGAAGAAAATAACGCTAAAATCTTTGAACCACAATTAAAGCAATTAAGGAAAAATAAATAATTTGCAACTTCACTTGGAAGGAGTAGAGGACATTACAGTGTAAATAACTTGCGTCCTAATTCATAGAAGTATGGACATCGATTCCTTAGATCCACATGTGCCGCATCAGCCGCAAGTTCCTCCCTTGTTCTGGCATTGGAAAACAATATGTAAGAGACACATGGAGCAAAGGAAACAAGAGTAATCAAGTCTTTCAATTAAAAACATCATGTCCAACTATTTCAGCATGCCTCTACTTTAGTAGGTTGCACATAAAGGGAATTCACAAGCACATTTTTTCAGTCCCACCAAATTCCAGGTAGGGATTTGGAGAAAGTTGCTTCACCTAACGGGGTTGTAACTACCCAGTCAGTAATGTAACTAGGATAATATAGCATGGACACTGGAGAAAAAAAAAATAGGCCATAAGAGATCCGATATTAACCTAAGAGAGGTTCGAATGCTGCATGTGTACTGTCTAACATGGAAGTGTATAAAATAGGTTATGTCATGCAATCTAGCTCATTAAAATCCTCCATTACTATTTTAAATTGAGCATAAAGGTGTCTGTCAGAGCTATTATGAGCTTTACTTTTGATTGAAACAGTGGGGAAGATTAATGGATACTGCTTGTCTCAGGTGCAGCTCACGAGCAAGCCAAAAAGGAAGCTCTACTTTTGAACCTTGTTCTACCTGACATTGAGAAACACAACCATCAAAGTGGAGTTAGCAACCCACTCCTCCCCTGAAGCTTCTTTAGGATTTGACTTGGTCCAAAATTAGAATTTACCTTATTTGTTTCATCACTAGAATCAAAGAGACCAACTCCATTTGCGGACACTTGGAATACAGCTGGGACAAGCTGTGAGCAAGAACAAACTCGTACAAATATTTGAAAGAGAAATTCAGAAGATATGGAAGTCAAGCCATCCAATTGAGAAGAAATGAGTAATACCTCATCTTCTGCAATAATGTCATCAATGTCATAATATTGTGACATTTCTGATAAAAAGAAACTTTTGTTGCTTTTATAGTCTACCCTGCCTCCTCCAGCACAGTTCACTGAAACAATGAATCTATGTTTTGTTTTTTTGGGATAAATAAACAAACTTTATTAGAAAAACATCAAGATGATGCAAAGAATACAAAAGTCAAGCCTATCAACGGACCAAAAACTAACTAATCAAATCCTCAACAAATCTACAAAAGCCAACACATCCGGATCAACCGTAAGCGTGACCCAACTATGCAGCACAATGAATATATGTTTTTTGGAACCTTATCCATCAAATTTTGACCTTTCTATATCCTGCACATCAATAGAAAAAGAAACAAAATGCTTACACGCACATATAGGACAGTGATGTCAACTGTAAACACCAATGCACAAACAAAATCTCAAAAAAAAAAAGAAAAAAAGAACAAGAGAGTCTAATTGTTATTATTGAACTAGGAATCAGCATTCAACGAAGCATTTATCAATATGAAGATCCAATTTCAAGTTGTTTCATATTTTTTATTCATGTTGAACAAAATTTCAAGTCGTTTGATTGTAGAATTCCTAGCAGGACAATTCTACGTTGAATTCATCCCAGGAATGATGAACAAATTAACGCCTAGGGGGAAAAACCCACATCTAAAATAACAGGGGACATTTATCCTATAAAATTGAAATAAAACAGCAGATCAGTCCAGTTTAATGAGAGACATGAACTTTAGGAATCAGGTTTTTGTATTGCTTCATGTCCTAAGCACCAGTTGCTAAAACCTGATATAATAAACTAATAAATTGGAAATAAAAGAGGTGCACATGTGTTACATGCACACAAATCTATACTTTATAATATATCTCTACAAGTACAAAACATTTTTAGAACATAATTATCCCTAGGTAAAGTAAATAATACTGGTATGCTCGGTAGTTCCAACAAATTGCAGCCAATGAGGATAAAATATTGCTAACAACTATTTTACAATGTCAGATTATCATGAAGCCTATTATTCAATTGCACCTCAAATTGTCAACTCCAAAATTCTTTAAGTTAGTCTAAAATTGTTTGTTTTGACTTTCAATTAAGACAGTTTCACCTAAGAGTACTTGTAAATATTGTTAGTTTCTTGAAACCATGAATTATGTAGTGTTAAAATATCAAAAACCAAGTTAAGGGTCAATGTTTCAATTGTGGGATTGAGCAGAAATAAGCTATCACATCATAATTAAATATAATTACAATAGAAATAATCATTGAAAATTTAATAAAATAAAATATAAGAGCATCCACAGTGGGCTGCCAAAGGGGCTTCCATTGCCAAATTTTGGCAGAGTTGGCAAAAACAGGTCTCCCCTAAACATAAAATAATATTTTTTAACAAAATTCACCCAAAAAAAAACAAAAGAAGACTAAAAACAACAATAATCACAACAATTTCAGTCAGATTTCAAGCAATCTCAACTAATCTCAAGCAAATTTGAAGCAATTCTGCATCATCATAAAGACGATTTCAGAAAAATAAAATACCTGGATTTCAAGATGCGTGATAGATTTCAGCAATCTCAAACTTCTTCGTCTTCTTCATCTGCTTCGTCTTAGGGTTTGTTTGTGCTTCGTCTTCATATTCTCTTCATATTCTCCGTCAGAAAGACGATTTGAAGGAGTAAATTTGAAGGGTTTCGGGTTTCTCAGATGGATCGAAGATAGAGATAGAAAGGGTTTAGGGTTTAAAGAGAGATAGAACAGAAGGAAGAGAGCGAGAGAGAGAGAGAGAGAGAGAGAGAGACCAGTGATGGAAGGGAGAGAGGGAGGGAGGGAGAGAATAATTGCTCATCTCCCTTTTTGGCGCCCAAATCTCAAAGAAATTTGAGATGGGTAATGTTGTAATTTCGCTAGTTTCCTTTATTCCCGGTTTGGGAGCTCTGTTTGGAATTTATTTTTATTTTTTAATATAATTTGACACTTATCAATCCATTTGGAGAATATTATTATACATATTCTTATCATATGCATATATTACGTTATTTTCTTTTTTAATTATAATTAATTTTTTTATTTAACTATAATATTATTTTAAAATTCTTTATTACGATTCATTTGTGTTTGATTATGATTTTTTCTTAATTATAACTTAAAAAATATATAATGATTTAATTTTTTTAGGTAATTATAAGATGCATATGTCTTTCCCCAATCATTTTCATTGCCGTTAACCTATCACTCTCCATTTTCATCCAAATTCATATGTAATCACAATTTTATTTTAGATGAATTAAAAAATGTATTATATACAATTAAATTGTTGTTTGTAATGATTTAAATAAGTTATGGTTTGGCTAGCATTTTGGAATTAAATAATCACAAAAAGACATATTAGGCTATATAAGTCAATAAGACAAAATATTATTTTTACACATAATTATTACACTTTTTTTCTCATAAAAATCAAAAAAAATCCCAAAACAAAAATCAAACAAGGCTAAAAAAACTAGCTAAAGAAGCCCCAACACAAAAAAGTTAGCTAAAAATGCCAATGCCAAACAAACCCTAAATATATTTTTTTAATCTTTTATGAAAAGATGTATAAAATGATGGATAGGTAATTGTTGGCTAGATATTTTGTGCAAACCAATTACAATTTAACACGTGGCAAAATAAGAGCAGTACGGGAAAACTATTCAAATCTTCGATCCTGATCGTACACGTGGTAGTTAGTATTGGTTGTTACGAGATCTGAGTAGCAGTGGATCAGCAGAGAGATACAAAGTGATGTAGCATCATCAGTTACTCACATTTGAATTCAAATTTAAGAGGGAAGCCTAACTACAAGTGATGGCGTAATGGAGCTAATCTTGAGGCAACATGATCAGAGATCATGGAGGAACAGTTCGACGGTTGAAAATACAGTTCAATGGTCATCCTTAAGCAATATAAATAGCAGAGAAGGTCCTAAAAAAAAAACCCCCCAGACTCAGATCCAAAAACCAGTCTTATTCTACTTTATTTAGGTTTATATTTCTTGTTCTTTACATTCCAGTACTTTAAATTCTGCACTGCACTTCATTCATAGGAGTATTTTCAAGTAGATTGTCGCTATAAACCTCTACAAGGCTGAGTTTGAATCATTGTAAGTTTTTCATTCTAATGAAATGCTTCAGTTGTTTTTTATTTGATCGATATTTTGCTTAATTCTCCTAAATCAAGCCACCAGTAAAAGTCCTCTTTATTGAGGCTGAGAGAACTAAAACACAATCGTCTGATAATTGGTTGGCAATTAAATTTCTATAAGGGCTGATTGATCCTTGCTGGCACGCTCGCAATTACAATAATAACCTTCGAAAGCTAAAAAGCCAACATATATTTTTGGCACGCCCAGTGGGACCAAGTGAAATGGCTAGACGTAAGAGATAAGGAGAAAATGAGCGCTTGGAAGAAGGCGTGGAAGGAGAGGTAGAAATACTTAATCCATAGGATAATGTGATAACACATCCTGTGGAAACTCCCATTTTATCAGAACCTATGGTCGAACAGATCAGTACTTCAGAACAAGTACCATATGTTCGTAATATTGGACGAGACTAAGGAATTGGACCATCCACTGTCCCATCTACTCAACCAATGAATCTATGGGGTGGCTTAATAGATGTAATGGGACAGCAATTAATGAACACAATGGAAAGGTGGGCAACATCCTTTTTGGATCGAATGAATAACCACCAGCTAACAAACGTAAGACACATGGAGGAAATTTCGAATGTCCCTCAGCAAAGATTGGTTAGAGATAAACAGCCTATGCAAGTTAATGGACATTCTAATGGTCAAACTAGTAATCAAAACTATGAAAGACCATCACCTCAGTCTTAGTACGAATCTGTTCCAAGGCCTGTAGTATGTCAAAATGTCTCAATACTTAACAGTGAAGCCATGTAATTTGGTGGAACTGGCCCAGTACAAGAAAATGGCGTAAGAATGGTTTCAAATCCCATGTTTGAAGCCATACCTGGCACAAGGGGGTTCACTAATCCCTTATTCGAATTTATACTCGGGGGGTTGGAAGGTTTTCCTACAAATGGAAAAGACACAATACCAGTTCCAGCACCTTTCACAGGTCCTTTCGCAGGACAAATTCAAAGGGGTTACCCACACCCCCAACAGCAACCTGCACCACATGGACAACCAGTCCCATACATACCACCTTATGGACCAAGAGGACCACAAGCACAAGTTTGTCCACCAAATCCTGTGTTTGTTCCTCCAGCAGTGGTTCAGCATGTACAAAATATGGTCCCTAGGGACCAAATTGCTGACATTGTTAGGGAGATGTGTGGACTGATGGCTCGGGGGGTCCAAACTCCTTTATACAGAAAACCATATCCAGAATGGATAGATAGGGTACATGAATACCCAAGAGGTTTCAGGATACCAGATTTTGCCCTTTTCTATGGGAGTGGAAACCAATCAACAGTAGAGCATATTGCTAGGTTTGCTGCTCAATACGGTGAATTTACTAATAATGACTATATGAAGCTAAGACTGTTCCCAAATTCTCTATCTGGAGGAGCATTTGTATGATACATTAACCTTACACCTGGCTCAATCCAAACTTGGCAACAAATAGAAGAGGCATTTCATGACCAATTCTTCTAATCAGAGCCAGAGGTTTCCATGGCAGACCTGGCAAGATTGAGTCAAAGGCCTGAAGAGAAGGCTACTCAGTTTATTGCCAGATTTAAAAGGGCTCGAAATAAATGTAGAGTCATCTTGCCAGAGCCAGAATTCGTAAGATTGACTCAAAATGGCTTAGCATTTAGACTTCAAAAGAAGTTTGACTCAACAGAGTTCAGGGACTTAATAGAACTGACTTACAAAGTATCTAGATATGAAGCATTACTAGAAGAGGAACAAGATCGAAATAATGCATCATACAAGACATACTACAAAGATCCTAACTATGAGATTGATGCAGCAGAGATTGTGGGAAAAGAACCTGTGATCTGTGAAGCATTAATTCATAAGGATACAACAATTGACCAGTAGTTTAAAAATAAAGACCTTCACAGGAAATACTCTTTCGATTTAACTAAGGCAGATGACATTTTTTATTATTTGCTCGCAGCCAACTTCCTTAAGTTACCAAAAGGGGTTAAAATTCCATCTCTTTATGAACTTAAAGAAAAAGTATATTGTAAATGGCATAATTCTTGGTCTCACTCGACTAAAAACTGTGTTGTTTTTCGAGACAGGATCCAAGAACAAATTTGGAAAGGAAGTTTGAAATTCCCAGCCAAAGCTGAAAAGGCCATGGGGATCGACAGTAATCCATTTCCAGAAATTGGAGAGGTGGCAGCCAATGTCATTATGCCAAATTTTCAGAACCTGTCTTTGAAAGAATTGGAAGAAGTCAATGTGCAGATGCATGTGGCCAACCAGACAGCAATCAAGAAAGACACTAGAAATCGACCAGCTATTGGCAGGTTTTCACGCCAGAGGAAGACTCTGAGGAAGAGCACTAGATGACGATTCCTTTAGGAAGCAGCTTAATCGCAGAGGATGTGTCTAGGTACAGACTAAGCTACAGTGTTGAAAGGATTCTGATTGTATCGGGAAGCAATCTAACAAGGATGTGCAGAGACGTCCTAAACCAACCAATGCTTACAATAAAAGGCCATATCCATCTGGTGTCAGGCAGCAGCCATTGAGGGTTGAACCAACAGCTGATAGGATGCATTCCAAAGGCAAGAGGCCTTTACATGAATCCAGGCCAGTTAATTATTACAGAATGGAGAGCAGTCATTCTGAGAGGAGATTGGAGAGAGGTTCAGTTTATGGGATCAAAGCCAGAAATTGGCCTCTTAGACCAGCCTCACGCAGGACAGAAAGTGGACACCTTCATCGAAGGCCTGAGTTAGGCCCAAAGCATGAAGTCAGGACCAAGCAGTGGCCTTCGCAGCTAGCTTCGAAGATGACTTCGAAAGAGGAAAGAAGCAGTTCAACAGCAGGGTCAATAGGTTCGTGGGTACCTGGGGTCCTAGATTGGTTTGTGATTTAGAATAAACCTAGGGGAGTGTTTACCCAAAGAGATGTAATTGGAAACCAAGGCAGGATGGTTAAGCCTCCTTTGGTGGCTCCAAATAATTGGGTGTTGCTTAAGCACCCAAAAACAAAGGAACCAGATATGGTCCCTGTAATTTCTAGATCACAAAGGAGAAAAATTCAGCGTAGGTATACTCAGTACCAGTGAGACCTGAAAGAGAATGGAGAGAGTTCTTCATTGGTACAGACAGAAAGAAAGAAGAATCCAAAGTCCGACCATACTCCAAAACCAACTCTACAAGGCAAAATGGGTTGGAACAGAGAACAGTTGGCCAAAGTTCACTCTGAACTCAAAGCCAGAGAGAAGTCCAATTTAGCGGGATTGGAGAAGGCATTGATGGAAAGTGACAGCGAGGCAGAGACAAAAGTTGGCTTAGGCCAAAAGAAATAAATGGTTAAGGAAGAAATGTTCAAAACCTTCATGGCTGAACAAACATTTCTAGTTGAAAAACCAGTCGTGATAAACCATTCAAAGGATGAAAGTACCAGAGAGCAGCATGGAAGATGCTTTTGAAGTAACTGAACAACGTGGCCAAAAGGAGAAGCAGACACAACCAGCCATCCAATTTGGCTCAGTGACAGTGAACATGGTACACATACTATTGCATGAATTCCAAGCTAGAGATGAGAATCAAGAGGGGCAAGAAATTGACCTAATTCCAATATTTAGCGAAGACTCACAAGTGAGTATGGTGCAAGATAACTCCAGAATGGTTACCCCAATGGAAACTGA